CCAAATCCCAAATTATGATTAGTATTTTTTGCTGAAATCTCAAATCCCAAATTCCAAATACTAGTAATTTGGGATTTGGGCAACACGTATAGCAGGACAGAGAACGAATTTTATATGATCTACATTTATCCCCTTTAGGAGGACATTTTGGATTCAAGAAAACAATTGAGAAAGCTCTGAAAAGATATTATTGGCCTATAATGGGAAAAGATATTAAAGTATATATCGAATCTTGTGATAGTTGTCAGAGATTTGGTAATCCCCGAAAAGTACAATTGACTAAATCTATATCAGTTATTTGACCTTTCTTTCAAATAGAAATTGACTATGTTGGACCTTTGGAAATAACTGAAAATGGAAACAGATATATCATAGTGGTAACAGATTATTTCACTAAATGGCCTGAAGCACGTGCCGTAAAAACAGCAATAGCTAAAGAAGCTGCTTAATTTCTTTATGAGGAAATCATTTGTCGACATGGAACCCCATCTATAATCTTGTCTAATAGAGGTACTCATTTTGTAAATGATACAATTAAACTTTTAAAGGAGGAAATAGGATTTCAACACAAATTGGCATCATCTTATCATCCTCAAACAAATGGATTAACAGAAAGATTCAATAAAACCTTATGTAGATCTATTGCAAAATGTTTACAAACCAGTCAGTCTAATTGGAATCAATTGATACCTTCAGTACTTTTTGCTTATCGTACCTTAAAGCATGAATCAATAAAGTATATTCCCTTTTATTTGGTACATGGAAGAGAAGCACAACTTCCTATTGATGTTGAGTTTAATGAGAAGGAAAATCATTCTGTTTTAACTTATGAAGAGGCTTTAGAATGAAGGATCAGTTCTTTAATAGGAACCTTCACTGACGCACTTATAATCTCCTCAAGAAATGTAACAAGTGTACAAGAACTACAAAAGGAAAGGCTAAAACATTTGGCTAAAGCTTATGAGTATTATGAAAATGATATCGTATTATTATATAATTCTGCTAAAAGACAAATGCATGAACAAAAGTTTAATCCTAAATGGACAGGACTGTTTTGGATAGAAAAGAAGTTAGGTAATAAGGTTTATTTGATAAGGGATAAAATTGGTAATACATTACCTAATCCTATTCATGCAGAGAGATTAAAACATTATAAACAAAAGCATCTTGTAGAACCTTGTGTAATAATTACCTCAAATTAGTCAAAGTTTAATTAAATATCTGAACACAAATTTTATTATATAAAGGACCTTATTTTTCTCAAGTTCCGAAAATTTTTACAAATCATGGAACTTTAATTTTCAGAAACTCAACGTGCTAGATTATTAGAACTTTACCAAAGTTTACAATTAGATTACACTTCTGTTAATATACAA